CTGTATACATTGGTTCATTCAGTGTTGCAGATAAGAATTCTGATGCCAAATTAGAAATTGTATCAGTTTAATGGTCTTTATTTTGTAGATGTCATTTAAAAATCTGAGAATTCATAGGATTTTCTTTATATCTTCGGATTTGAAAAATTCTAGCAATTTAATTTTTTCTGGTATCTTGCATAGTACTTGATAATAATCCTTTCAATTTGAAAATTTAAGTTCAGTGAAATTTTCTTCTATGCTTTTTTTGACTTTTGCTTTTTCAGTGTTTATGTTTTCTTCTACTTCATTATTTTGATTTTCAGCACTATTTAAACTATTATAACCTCTTCTGTTAATCATACAGAATTCAATAAAAATGTTTGATTTTGTAAGAGCAGATCTCAGGTACAGAGTAGCAATGTCTTGAAAACAAGAAAAAGAGGGTTTTGTGAGGAGAGATGGAAAATACTAGAAATTAGGGTAGGTTTATAGTTATTTTAGGCTTAATTATTAATTAACTGAATGATTAAAGAGCAAAAAACATTACAGTCTTTATGGTACAGTTATACATATTAGATTATCACAACTCTTTGAAAAAATAACTGGGTACTTTATTGACATACTTTTTTTTGTTCTCTAAAACAACACAAAAGCTGGACTTATTCTTGTAATTCTAATTTTACAGATGAGACTGTGAAGGCTTCTAGGTGTTAAGTGGTTTGCCCAATATTCCTAGCTAATTAGAATTAAAGCAAGGATTTACATAAAAATCTGAAAGCATCCCTCTCAACCCACTTGGAATATTTAAATAATTTGAATAGTTATTCAATTGAATTTAAGGTAAATGTGTTACTATTTGAATAGTTCTGTATGTGACTTGACTGATACCATATCTTTTAAAAATCATAATCTAGTAATGCTTCACTCTTACTTACAATACAGTAAGGACACAGTTATTCACATGGTAAAATCTGGATCCATAAATAAGACCAAGCAAGACCTAACTTAAAGAAAGTGAAGCTCATTTGTCAGCCTCAGTGGTTCTGTGAACTCCCTGGAATTCAATGCAAATATGATGTGTGCACTTTTCTCTGGGATTCTATTGCTTTTGTAAAGGGTGGGTGGTCCATGTTGGTTAAGATTATAGGTCTGTTATGTGCCTCTGTAAAACTCCAGTCATATGACAAATAAATCATTAGAAAAGAAAAACCAATCTAGTTTCATGTACAAAAAAGGATTATTGCCACACTTCATTTTATTGTGCTTTACAAATGTGACTTTTACAAATTGAATACAAGCCCCTCCATGACAAGCAAAAAGATTATGACCCTCTTTATTGTGGTGGTTTGGAACTGAATCCACAGTGTCTCTGAGGTATGCCTTTATTTAATGAATCCATATTTCTTGGAAGAAATTCAGCCAGAAATTCAATTAACACTGATCATCTAAAATGAATACCGTTTAAAGTAATCATTAGGCCCAAGAGAAGTGGCTTTATGTGGTTACTAGGTGCAGCCTGGACTTTCCAGGTTTATGTAAGTGAAATCATTTTAGCTTAAATTAGACATTAGAGCTGATTTCCAGTTGCATAAACATTCAAGGTGAGAATCTAGACAAGGACACTTCTGAACATGTAGTGATCCTCTGACCAATGCAAACCAAAGTCGGCCTCCTATGACAGATCCCAGCCAGATACTACAATGTGGAAACTGCTCACTCACTCTGATGATAAGAATTTATCTGCTAAATATAGCTGCAGGCCTGAGATTTCATGTTATTGTATAACATCTAGGCATAAGCCTGGGTCAGAGCCATAGGAGTTTGTACTATTCCAAGGAACTACCTCTTAAAACGCAAGACTGCAACCCTGAGGCCTGGTGAATCTTTGTATTTGGAGGAGTCAGGTCATCCTGAAGCTCTGAGGAGTCTCCATAAGCTCTGTTCTCTATGACTAAGTCCAGACATTCATTCCCAGGAGTGGGTGCTTAATAAAGTATTTATGGAACAATTATGATTTCTATGCAGAAGAATATCCAGCTCTTTGTAAATGGAAGCGTGAGGGCTGTGAAGAGCTAGAGGATATACTGGAAGAAGATACCATTCCTTAAAATTTGTACCCTCAGTTACAGAATGGTTTTGATTTTATAAAAGTGAGTGGTATGAATAAGGAATTTATTCTAAAAGTTTGGGTGTTGAGATATCTCTTTTCCTAAGCTTTAGAGGAGGATTATTCTAGAAACTCAGAGTGTCAATAGAGAAGGTTATCAGAAGAACGTGAGCAACACCTCTATTCCGAAGGAAATCTTGAAGAGATGCCATGCAATGAGAGACAACTACAGTTCATTCCAGTATTTTTTAAAATTACTTTTTAATTGTATTTAGTCCCAGTGGGATTAACGGGCCATAGAGCACCATGGGATTGACACAATACCAATGTAAGGTACGTGAGGAAAGCTAAATCTCTGTTTGACATCCACCAGAGAACACTCGCAGGAGGGAGAATCTTAGGGTAAAGGCTTTATGCAGTGATGAGACCTCTGTGTTCACCATAGAATCCACACAGGAGAGAAACCATACACTTGTAATAGCTTTCACAAAAGATTCATTCATTACACTACATTGCATGTTGTAAAAATTGTGGAAAATGCTCCAAGTGCAAGGGAAACCTCAATGCTCACCAAAGAACCTACGTAGGAACTAAACCATGTGAGTGTCTATAGCAATGCTGGGTAGTAGAAATATAATGTGAGCCGCAAATGTGAGCCACATATATAATCAAAATTTTCTAGTAGCCACATTAAAAAATAAAAAGAAACAGGTGATATTAATTTTAATAATGTATGTTATGTAACCCCACATGTCAAAATATTATTTCAATATGTAATCAATATAAAACATTATGCATGGCTATTTTACATTTTATTTTTGTGTCCTAAGTCTTTTAAACTCAGTATGTATTTTATACTTACAGCTCATCTGAATTTGAATTCACCACATTTTAAGTGCTCAGTAGCCACATGTGGCTATTGGCCACTGTATTGGACAGCATTGCCAAACCTTTGGTCAGCTGGACAACTTTAATGCCATGAAAGAGTACACTCAATAACACCTCACTCAGTAGCACCAACAGATATCAATTACTTATGTCCAAGTCCTTGTCCTAGCTACAAAATAAGTTAACAGTGATTTGTAACTTATTATTATTCTGGATAGCAAATGACATAATACATGGTAAGCACTTAGAAGAATACTTAGCTTACAATAAGTGCTCTGAAATATTAACATGACTATGTTAATATGTTATATATGACTAAAATATAATTAATTTCTTATTTAACAAATATCTTTTTTTATTTCTAGAATTTCTTTTTAGTTCCTAGGAAGGTCCTTATACAAAAAGGGCAGGATAATTTGTGACAACATGGATGAATCTGGAGGGCATTATGCTAAGTGAAACAGTCCAGACAAAGAAAGACAAACAATATGGTATTACTTACATGTGGAATCTAAACAAAAGAAAAAAAGTTGAACTCATAGAAGCTAAGGTGGTTGTCAGGGGCGTGGTAGGGGGTAGAAGAAGTGGAAAGAGATTGGCCCAAGGGCACAAACTTCCTGTTATAAGATGAATAAGTTCCCAGGATCTAATGAACAGCATTCTGACTGTAGCTAACAGTGTGGTATTGTATACTTGAAATATGCTAGGAGAGTAGATTTTAAGCATTCTTACATACACAAAAAAATCAATAAATGATATCAGAACAGCTACTTAATTGTATACTCAATTGTTTTACAAAAAGGATTAAGTGAAAATATAAAATCTGTAAAGAACTAGAATAAGTATTATCATCAGCTGGGAGAATGTGAGCTGACTGGGAACCTGCAGTGTGGGAAGGACAGCTGATGTTCCTTTGCTCTCTTCCACCTGCTTCCCCACCTTTTTCCCGCCCCATGACTGGATGGAGGGCACAGCTAGAGGAAGAGAGGCAAAAGCCCTACTTTACAGACATCACTGTGGTTCTCTGTTGACTCTTGCAGTTTTGTTTTTTTTTTAAAGAAAAATAGCCAGGTGAGTCATAATGTATTAATTGTGGTAATCATTTCACAATGTACAGTACATATATCACCTTGTACACTTTAAATATGTTATAATTGTATTTGTTAATTTTACCCCAATAAAGCTAAAACTGGAAAAAAATCCCATTGTGCAATTTAAAAAATTAATCTTAAGGAAAAAATAAAACAAAAAGTGCAGGCTGTTCTTTTTGATGTATTATCCTCCTGCCTCTTATAGGAATAAGGAAAAAATTTAAAGTTTTATTCCCCACTCCCATTAACTTTGTTTTAATGGGGGTTATTTGTTCTTATTGGTCCTCTGGACTACTGTTTTGAATGGCTGATTTATTTCATGTCTTGTTATTCATATGTCTGTAATAATAATTCATGGTCTGCTAATATTTATAAATGAAGGACTTGATTATTCAGTAGGGGTAACTGGTGTGGTCACTGCCAGCAATTATGCGGGCTCATGTTTGTTTTTCCTGATTGATTTTCCCCCCGAGTGTGTGTAGGTAGGTGATTGATAAGTTGGTGGTTTGATTTTTCAGCCCTACTTTTCATTTTTGGGAGCTGTCTGCCTGTAGGCCTCTCCTTGGCTGTGCTATAGAATGAGCTGGGTGGCTACTGTTCAGTATGGGTAGCAAGTGTTCAGTCATTTAAAAATGGTAAAATTAAGCACTGGCTGGTGTGGCTCAGCGGATTGAGCACAGGCTGTGAACCAAAGGGTCGATAGTTTGATTCCCAGTCAGGGCACATGCCTGGGTTGTGGGCCAGGTCCTGAGTGGAGGCCACGTGAGGGGCAACCACACATTGATATTTCTTTCCCTCTCTTTCTCCTTCCCTTCCCCTCTGCATAAAAATAAATAAATAAAATCTTTTAAAAAATGGTAAAATTAAGCACTTCATTAGAATATTTGCTTTATATCTATAATATTTAACATGTCATTATATATTTTTAACAGGAATACACACGGCTTGTTAAAAGCCATTATGAAATTATTACAAATGCAAGCTGTTAAGGAAGGACAAGCTGGGGAGAAGAACATTCAGGATATATATTCTATTAGGTAAGCCTTTTCCCCTTTCTTTAAAAAACATGTTTTTTATTGTGTGAATTGTTAAGTTATGAACTGAGACATGCCAATCCATGAAGAATTAGTTATTTCAGAGATTTTGCAAGTGTACTTAAAGCAGGAGGGTAAACTTTCTCACTATGAAAAATAATAGGAGACTAACAAAAGGATTATTACCCAGGGGATAGGTTAGTAGTTAGGAGCCTTGATTTGCCTTTTCTTTGTCATCTATAGAATATAACATGGTAGAATTACTTTAAAAAGAAAAACCATACTGCAACAATTAAAGTGAAATGCAGTAGATTTTATGGGGGAGTTGTGGACAAAAGATAGCACCGTACTTATTTGTGAGTGTGACCTTAACCATTGCCTTGAAAGTCCTAGAAAGCCATTTCTTAAGAGAGGAGCTCCCATCCAGTGAACAGAGTTCTAGTAACCCAGAGGATGCCAGTAACCAATGCATATTGTCTTAGGAACTCTGTTTAGTGATACATCCAGAAATGCCTGCTTCAGAAGAATGAGAACATGGGACCATAAACAAGGGTACTGGTTCTTGGTGGAAAATGGCTTACACAGGCTATGACAATTCAACATGCAAAGTAAAAGATACATGAGGATCCTCATTGGCTTGAGCATACAGAACCTGAAGTTTGGAGCATTTAATACCACAGAAATCAGAAGCTGAGAGGAGTCTGTCCAAAATGTTGACTGGTGTCTACTTGTGTATATTTATAGTGTTTTCCTTTTGAGAATAAGTCAGCAGTATCTTTTGTATTACAATGATCTTTCCTGAAATTTTAGTGGTATTTATGATCTCTTTTATTTTTATGAGTACAATATTGAGAGTTTTTAAAGCCAGTTTTTTTCAAACGAGGCCAGATTTCCATTTTATGCAATTTTTTCTTTTTTTTTTAAGATTTTATTTATTTATTTTTTTTTTAGAGAAGGAAGGGAGGGAGAAAGAGAGAGAGAAACATCAATGTGTGGTTGCTGGGGGCTGTGGCCTGCAACCTAGGCATGTGCCCTGACTGGGAATTGAACCTGCGACACTTTGGTTCGCAGCCCACGCTCAATCCACTGAGCTACACCAGCCAGGGCTGCAATTTTTTCTTAATATGTCTTTTGAATGTCTTCAAAAACACAGAAAAGTTGGGAGATTGTAGTACAATAAGTTAATAAATTTATTTACTTGTTAACTCATTAATTAATTTTTTATTTTTTTTAAGATTTTATTTATTTTTAGAGAGGGAAAGGGAAGGAGAAAGAGAGGGAAAGAAACACCAATGTGTGGTTGCCTCTCATGTGCCCCCCACTTGGGGACCTGGCCTGCAACTCAGGCATGTACCCTGACTGGGAATCGAACCATTGACCCTTCGGTTTGCTGGCCCCTGCTTAATTCATGGAGCCACATCAGCCAGGGCCATTAATTTATTTTTAAACAGGGGAAGCAAAAGGAAAATTATTTGCTATTTGAAAATACTGTGGAAATGTGATATGTAGCATAAACTTTTCCAAACTGATAATATGTTGTTTTTTAACATAGTTTTGCCTCTTGAGGTACAAGGTTTCATTTCAGGTTTGTCTTTGATCCATTACCTTGACCAGAATTGAACGTAAGGAGTAGATGAGCAGATCTTAATATTTCTAGATGAGTCATATGAACATCTGTGTTTTTTCTCCTTTTAAAAAGAAGTTCAAATTCTTGGGCTAGGGTTCCAGGGTAGAAAATGATTTCATTTTATTATTGGATTTCATTTCATTATTGTTCATGGCCAGGGAGGGGTGGGGCATTTATTTATTTATTTATTTTAAGATAGGAAAGCTATTGAAGTTTTTTTTTATATAACAGTTTTATGACAGAAATTGACCCATTTATAGTATACGATTCCCATAGTTTTTAGTATATTCATAAAATTATACAACTATCACCGTAATGAATTCTAGGACTTTTTTTTTATCATTCCAAAAAGAAATTCCTCACCCATTATCTGTTTTTCCACATTTCCCTCCACCCAGTGGGGTGTTTTTAATTTAATTTAATGTTTTCGACCCTGGCTGCTCATTAGAAATATCTGGGCGTGGAACTTACCAATAATCAAATATCCCTGCCCAACTGAGTCATAACCTCTGCCATGAGGCCTCAGCATTTGTATTTTTTAAAAGGCCCAGGTGATTCTGATTTACAGCGAGTACAAGATGGTATGTTAGCTGCTCATTGAGGTGCATTCTTATCCCCTGAGACCTTGTTGGATGGCAGATTCTCTTTCCTTATGGCTAGGACAGACTCCAAATTTTTCTCTGACCAGCTCCCAGGTGCTGCTGCTGGTCTTCCATCAAATAGCAGAGCTACGAACAGCATCAGCAGTACCTGGGGGCTTGGTGGGAATGTACCTTCTCAGACCCCATCTCTGACTGCCTGAATCACAGCCTGCATTCTGGTAAGGTAATTTAGAGGCACCTTAAAGTTTAAGAAGCCCTGTTTAGATGATGGTAAAGGGAAAGTTTCTGTCATGCATAAGAATTAGAGTTACTCTCATTTTCATACTGATTGTCCTCACTGGCTCTGAGTGCTAGACCTTTAGTCATCTGTAATGTTTCACTTATTTTTGTATTTATAATTTATATTCTCTTGTACTTGGTTCTTCTAACTGCAATGTTGTTTTCATAAGATATTAGGTGCTAGGCATGGATAGGGGGCCTAGTTTGAGGAGCTGATATCATAGTGGATACATAAGGTTTGTCCTTAGATTGGTGGCACATTAAGAGGTCCAGAATCAATCGCCTGAGTTGTCATAATCCAGTAATGTTTATGGAGAGCCCTTATGTGAATGGCTGTCTGGCACTATAAATCAGTAGAGTGCAATCGAGTGCGTAAGGGCCTTAAGTTCCTCCAGGGGGGATTGGGGATGACAGAAATGGGGGAGAGGTGAGCCTGACGAGCAGCTTCCCCTAGAGAGAGCTGTGATTACCTGAGTCAAGCACAAAATCATCATGCTGTTTTGGAGCCTTCTTTGCCACATGTTGGTTGGCATTATCACCCAGCCTTGGAGAGGCAACTGATGAGCTATGTTTGAAAGCATAAACAAAGATATGAGAAGCTCAGAACTCCCCTGAGAGGTGTTCCCTGGTTATGCTGTAGGGTTAATTTAAAATGGAAGTGGTATGAAACTTAATTGTAAGCTTTCTGGGAATGAAACTAATCTATGTTTTTATTGGTATTAAGGACTCTGCTAGTAAACTGTTGGGACTTAAGTATTTTTCACTTCTTTTTGTCCTAAGAGCTGACTAACTTGAATTATAGTAAAACAGAATATGTGGTCATTTTAAGTGAGGCTGTGCTGAGTTGCATAACTCATGCCAGTATGGGAGAAAAGAGAGAGGGAGATGTGAGGGCCCAAAATGTTAGCCAGTGGCTTCCTTGGTCCCTGTGAATTTCTTGAAGGGGATCTAGAGTGGGTTTTCTCTTCATTGACCCTAGACCTCAGTGGTTCTTAAACTTCCCGTGCATAAGAATCATCTGGGGAGCTTGCTAAAAGTATAGCTTCTCAAACCCACTTCCCAGAGATTCTCATTCATGCAGTCAGTTTTGCGTGAGACTCTGAATCAGCATGTTTGTCCAGTTAGTCAGTGATATGGATATAGGTCGTTTGTGGATCACACCTGAGAAATACTGCTTGAGCTCCTGGGAGTTTTATGGTACCACATATGAGCTGCAAGGAACCCCTTGGGTACACTCACAGGTGGTTCCTGAGTGGCCTAATCATTTCTCCTTGCCTCTGCTCCGTATTTGGGAGGGAAAAGGTCTGTATGTTTTTAAGTTGCAAGGCACCAATTTCCTCTTGTCATATCCACTATGGGCAGTAGTGGCCTAGAGCAGAACCAAAGAATAATTCTAAAGGGAAAGCAATCCAATGAGAGCAAGCCCCATATAGATACAGGGGGAAAATATGTAAGAGATTTAAACTCATTGCTCTGTTCAGTGAAATAATGCCATGGTCCGAACACATTAGTGTTCTTCCTAGTTGGGGGGTGGATGGCTGTAGGAGGAGGAGAGAACCCTCAGCACCCTCCCAGAAAGCACTACTGGTGTTTAGTGTTTACAGTGCATATGCAGCTCATCCTCAGTGTTTGATGTGTGTGTCTGGAACATGCCTGCAAACCTGCATTTTAATAAGAGACTTGTATATACAGATGGTCTGTTCACCATGCTTTGAGATGCACTAGATTAGATTGTGTGCAGCTAATAAAGTTCCTGTTGCTTAAGTGGAACTTTCTTTAGTTTTGTGGCTTAAACAAGATTAAATGGGGATATTTAAGTAGGGTTTCAACTTCCAGTGCCTTTGAGGATGGGGAAAGTTGGAAGAACAATGCAGTATGTTTGACTGGGTGATTAAATGAAGAGCATATGCCAAGTGTTAAAACCTTGGGTCTCTCAATCTGGGAGCACATTAGAGCCCTCTGAGGAGCTTTGAAGTGTGCAGACGCCTGGGTACTTCCTGGAATGACTGGAGTGTCAGCCTCGGGCATTGGTGTTTTTTCAAAGCTTCCTGGGTGGTTTCTTATTTTTCTCCTTTCACTTTTACTTGGTCTGAATTCCTTTGGGTTAGCTTGAACTCCATTTTTCCTGTAACACACGTATATTTAAGTTAAGCACTCTTGACTATTGACCATACAGGAATTTCAGCAGAGAACTGATATTTGGCTGGTGTTTTGGTTGCAAGAAGAATAACTAAACTAAATTTTTATTATTTATAAATTACTAAAGGGTCATTTTCTCATTTGCTTTATAATGTGCCATTTTCTACCCTGAAATTTTATCATGTGCTTTTGCTTTTAATTTTTCCTCTGCATATTCATATTATGGCAGTCTCCTTAAGAGCTCTTCTCTCAGCTGAAGTGAGGAAATAGCTGTGAATTCATGAGCAGTAACTGCTTGTTCCAGAATTCGTGCATCATTCTGATGTGCCAGACAGTGGCTGACATGCACAAATATC